CCTGATCGACCATAGTGAGGACATAGAGGAAGCAGCCACCACTCCTGAGCCGATAGAGAAAAGTGGTGAGAAAAGAAAGTTTTGGAAGACGAAGAAGAAAAGTCAGCCTTCACAGGAGTCCTCGAAGAAACAGCAGATAGTGGCAGCCCACACTGCCACTACCTTGTTGGAATAGTGTCTAAGGCTGCAACTATATTTGGTAAGTACTTCACCCGATTGAGCATGGTCCTTTTGGGTTGCCTTCACCATAGCAACTTGACAGGATATGAGAGAAGAAATATTATTAATATATTATGAGGATAATATAAGGAATAATAATATTGTTATTTGATTAATATAAGTCATAAATTAATTAGGAATTAATTTGGTGACTTAAAGAGACTAATTGAATAAAGGGGCATAAACTGTCAATTGTATGATAGTTGTACTTTGGGCTATAATCCCTTATGGATAAGGGGTGGACGATTTTAGGGTTAGGATAGACCTAGAAATCGTCCAAGGCTTATCATTAGGGATATTGGATTGCTTAGGGCCTAAGTTATCCAATTAGGGTTTAAGGGTGAAACCCTAGGAGGCTCACTAGTAAAAATAGACCCATGGGGTCAAGGAAATTGTGACTCTTGCCTTTGAGGAAACCCTAGCCGATTTCTTGCTCTCCTCTCTCTCTCTCTCTAATCATCCTCTTGCTAAGTTGGTGTTTGTAAGCCATTAGAGGAGTGACATTTGTGACTCTAAGTTCCAAGGACAAGAAGATTCAAGCAAGCAATTCAAGGTAATCTTTTAGATCTGATTTCATGTGCTATTATATGAATGTTTTCATTAGATCTATCAATCAAAGACTTGGATACATTGCATGTTCAATTAGAGAAACCTAGATCCAAGCATTAGGGTTTGTATGTGCACATAGGAATGTTCTTATGGCTCAAACCCATCAGTGGTATCAGAGCCTTGATTGGTTTCTATTGAATTGATGTATTGGTTGCTTGTTTGATAATTGCAAAATTCCGTTTTTGTCCATCTGCATGATGAACTCGGCGAGTTCCATAGTGGACTCGGCGAGTAGGCCTTAACTCGACGAGTCCATTGTGGTACTCGGCGAGTTCGAGCATCAGGAAGAGCTAATTTCGGGATTTCTTGTTGTTTATCTTATGGAAACTTGCCATTATCTTAATGGGTCAATATAAATCCGATTTTATCATATATATGAGTATATCCTTGACCTAATTCAAGATAATTACCAATTAATTGAATAATAATTTCCTTATGTGATAATTGATTAATTATTTTAATTAAATTGGTAAGTTGTTTTGCAAGAAACATCAAATATGGATAATTATGAAATTAAATGGTTAATTTAAATTATTTGTTATTTGATCCCTTGTGTTTTAAAAGGTTTAAAACTAATCCTCAAGTTTTGAAATTTAGTTTTGTGATTAAAAGTTTAATTTGGACAATTTAAATTTCAAATCTTAGAATTTTACAAGTTTAAAATTCTACCCTATACTCTATATGATTACAAGATTAATATATATATATATATATATATATATATATATATATATATATATATATATATATATATATATATATATATATATAATTAAAATGCTAGTATTACCGTTAGTAGGCCTCATTCACGAAGCCGGTCTATAAGGTGAGTATAAGGTTGCTGCCTATAAAATGGCGCTTAATGGGTGTACACTCACACCCACCGCTTGCTTGATCGGTGGAGGGTCGTTAGCCGAACGGGTAGGATAGGACAACTCTATTTCCTCATTAATAAGTATAATGAACCTATAAAGTAACTACATGTTTTTCGAATTCCCAATCCTAGTTACCTTAGGAAAAGTGAATTGATGCAATCCCATGAAATTACACTTTGCACCCTTGCTAAGAAGTTAGTGGAGCATGTGTGGTTTACCGACACACTAATTGGTTCTAATCAAAAGTGGCAAAGGGTGATTCATTGTTTATCATAGTTCGGTGGAGCGTGTGTGGTTTACCGGCACATCGAATAGGTGATCATTATAATGAAGGCACCGTGTAGATTTGTATGGTTATTCACACCCACTTTGTGATCCTCGGCATCCCAGTCACAAACGAGAGGGGCATATCGAGATTTAAACATGTCATTGAAAAGTTCAATGAATCTCATCGAAATCTAGGACTTCTCAATGCGTTTAAAACTTATAGGTAATGTTATCATGGTGGAGAATTAGTGAATCGTCATTCACTTACCTTCAAATTGTTTGCATGTTGGATTACGACATCCATTTTCTAATATGTAAATAATGTTGTTGGATCCTAGCCCTAATTTTTCTTATTGGGTGATAATTAGGGATTCAAAGCAACTCGAGAGAGAAGAACTTGGGAGGTGTAGGAAGAGAATTTAGGGTGCTCTTGGGGTGCACATTATGCATTTTAAGGCGACGTCTCCCCAGCCGCTTTGTATCACGTGTCGGCCTCTCTGTGGTCTGCGTTTTCACTTTCAAGAGACATACATCGTGCACCGCGCGCAACACAAAATGCATATTTTGTAAATTCCATAAATTCTTCATACAAACTCCGTTTTGATGTTCTTTATATCCTCAGAAAGCTCTCAACGAGATCTACAACTTTCCTTTAGATTCCATTGGCTAATCTGACTTCATTTTTGTCCCTATTTTTATATGATTAAATGATTTTGCTAAAATCATAACATTTGCATATGAACTCCGTTTTTGGCATTCTTTTTTCTCAAAATTCCTATCTTAAAGAGTACTACGATTTTCTTTTGGTGACTTTAGCTAAAAGTCAACCATTTTTTTTGTAGCTTTTTATGTCACATATTCCTTATGCACGACTGACTTTTATATCTTATAAAAATCATATCTAATTCATACAGAGTCAGATTTCTATGAGATTTATATTTTCGAAATCGGAACGACGTGTACTTTCTATATATATATATATATATATATATATATATATATATATATATATATATATATATATATATGTTTTGGTGCACTTATTTTTTACGATTTACAGACGATTCAACTTATTTTTTCCTAATTTTCTTAATATGAAACTTATATTATATAGTGTATAGCGCGCACAACTACAGATTATCCTATTCAAGGATTTAGTTTTAATAATTATTACTTATTATGTGTAACCCAAATTTGTGGTTATTACAATAGTCTCACAAAGATGCAAATGTGCATAAACCAAATCAATAAACTAGTGATAATTTTCATGAGTCATCACAAGAGTTATCAAGTCCATTCATAAACTTTTAAAGTTACTTTAAAAAACACGTATGGGCATTTTCTTACCAAAACAAAAGTCATCAATGTTTTTCTAAAACCAATATTATCTAAATAATATAATAATTAAAACATGCAAGCAAAATGACTCTAATACCATTTGTTGGGTTTTATTTAAAATTTTAGTTCTAAAAAACGAAAAAATTAGCAATGAAAGCATTATAAAAATTAAATAACATAAAACTATTTTATACTCACCAAATATCATTTTGAATTAACATGAAATACCAATCACACCCATAGGAGGTTCAAGAATAACAATATTTGAAGACTTTAAATCCTATTAGGAGGAGGTTCCAAGTTGATGGAGATGGTAATAATACAAATAAGAGCTCATCTAGAGGTATTGACCAATAAGTAATTAAGACATTGTATGTTCGTTTATAACTTGCAATATGAAAACCCTTAATCTTTTAAGCACAAAACCAATTTTGTCTTAAAAGAGAGTTAAAAGAGAGTGTATGTATCAAACTTATTCTTTATGTTATACCACTTTAGAGAGTAAAAGAGAAGAAAAGAGAGGTTGGAGGTTTCACTAGTAAAGAAAAGCCGCACGAAAGCCTTTATTAATCGACTATTGTCCTTTGTGTCTTAACACTTTAAGACATACCGTACCTTCAATTCCACATGCTTAATGATTATAATAAAGCATGTATTGCTTAATAAAATAAGAAAAGGTGATAAAAGTGTGTCCTCTTAGAAGGATATTGGTTTTGGCAAGTAAAAGGGGAGGGAAAGATACTCATTTTTTTTAGTATGTTATGTATATTTTTAATACCGCAACCATTTAAGTTAAAAAATATATACATGACATCATAAATCACACGTTATGATATTATTTTGATACTAACATTCAAAATTATTTTTTTCCATAAAATATTAATTTCTAATCAAATTTACTCTTGGTAATGTTTATCAAAAATCAAATTCTTATAAATATTTAATTTATGTCTACTTGTTATAGGTAACTATATAAAATCATATGTTATTGAAAATATTATTTGAAAATGATTCTTAAGCATTTAATTCCTTCAAATAATTTGACTAAAATCCAAGCCTTATTTTTTTCAGGTCCTGTGTGACCACCTACTCTATAACGGTAAAAGTTTATTGTGAGAATGAATCAACTATAAATGTTGCTTTAAATTTTGCTTTCCATGATAAAAAAACCGTTTTGAATTTGATGTACATTTTATATTGAAAATGTTTCAAAAGAGATTTTAAAAATAGTTCTATTTAAAAAAAAGTTATTTCAAAACGGTCTCTTTTCTTGATGTTGATCATGAGATGGGTTTTGAGAATAATGACTTAATCACAAGATTAACATTTAGCTTAATGGAATATTAACTTAACTAGGTGTCAGCCCCATGTATTACATGGGTGTATTTAAAACAATTAAATATCGATAAACATTTGAGAAATTTGAATTTATAAGAAAAATAAAAAAAATATTGAATTACTAAAATTAAAGTGTTTTTTTTTTCTCTTTTAAATTTAAACAAATCATTTAGATAAAATAATCAAATCAAATTAATCATATTTTATTTTAAAATTTTAAAATTATAAGGAAAGTCCATTAATGAAATTGATATGCATTTATTATTAAATTTAAATACCATATGGAGTTTAATAAAATAGGAAAACCACAAAATTAATAATTTGGAATAAAAATTAATTCAAAATAACCACAAAATGACATGTGGCAAAATGAATGAGAGTGTGACAAGTGGCAAAAAAAACCTTCATTTATTAGAGGAGAAAAGTTTTATGCTTGTTATTGAAGATAAGGGTATAATATGTAAAAACTGTGAAAATATGAAGAATGAAAGAGTTTCAGCTTAGAGGAAGTAAAGTGTAGATTTGCAGAAGACGAGGGACTGCGGCTCGTTTCTCTTGAGGTTGGAAAACACGCGGACCCAACTCGGGTCGAACCTCACCGGGTTTTAACTGTACTTGAACCGCTTCATGACCCGGAGTTTAAATACAGAGACATACAGAGGATTCGTCATTTGTTCATTCTCTCTACACACACTTTTCTCAGACGTCATATTCTTTTGTTTATGTTAGGGTTTTGTTCTAGGGTTTGTTACTGTTATTTACGGACTTCTGTAATTGTTGAGTGTAATCTGTACTGAGCTTTGGTTGTATTTGTATTCCGTTTATAATAAAAGGAGTTCGTTAATTTTTTAACACTATCCTTTTAATTTCTTTTGTTTCACAATAAGAATCACTTGTTCACATATACTTCTTTACTAAGCATCGGAGCAACGAGCGGAAGCTTTTGAATAACTTGTTCACAACTTCACGTAATAACTTGTATACTTCTTTATAAAGCAGCGATATCAGCAAGCATACACAGATTCACATAGAGGACAGCCATGTACGTTTTTTTGTTAGAATTATCCTTGTTTATACGGATTTATCACTTTGTTTTGCTGTTTTTTGTTTTAAATCATTTGATCCTTAGACCAAAGTGTATGGAAATTATGATTGCTTTGCCACTCGTTGTAGATAGTTTCCCACGTTCTACTTTGATAAACAAAGATAATTATATATTAATAGTATTGCGTAGATTTTTGATATATGAATCAAGTTAAACTTGTTTATATTGTGTAGAAATTTTGGTTTCAGCCCCTTAATTGTTAATTGTGATGGGCGTGTTCCACCGTTTAGGGCTCTGTTTCCAACCATACCAATATCAACAACATATTTACATTATACCTCCTGAAATATTACAAAATCAAAGAGTTTGTGGGCTAAGTATGTAGGAATAATGTTGAAGAGAAGTAGGCATGCGATTTTAAAGATACAAGGTATGTGTGTGTTTTAGAAAATTATTTGAGTTGGAAAATTGTGGAAAACAATATTTATTGTTTTTTCAAAGTTTTTCAATCTTCTTTGTAATGTTAGAAGATGGAAAATTCTCATTTTCTTGGCATTTTTTTTCATAAAAATGTTAACCAAACAAGCTCTTAAAGTTCTAATTTTTCTTAGAACAGCTTTCTGGACACCCCATTTTTCCGTAACCAGAAGGAGCCTATAGGGTTTTATGTGGTCTTCACAAATCCCAATTAAAAATCTTGAAACATCATAAAACAGTTGATTTCAAATCTTCAATGGAGTTAGCTTAACAAAATATACTGCAGGTTAGGGCTGGCATAGGCATAGGCATAGGTGCAACCTGGGCCATTGATATCAGGGGAACTTCTCTTGTTCTTCCATTCAAGACTAATGTTGTTCACTCAATGTCTACTACTTTGGCTATATATATATATATATATATATATATATATATTATGCTGCCCAACAATAAAAACAAAGCATTAACATTGCAAAATCCTTTTGCGTTAAATAGTACTGGATTTCAATTTACTACAGCAAATAATACAATAATTTAAAGTAACATGTATTTGTAGTGGTGATAATGTTGGCGATTTGTTTATTTATTTTTTGAAGATAAGCACTGAAACTAAGGGCATAAGTAAGTCGATCTCTTTGCCCAGGTGGTCTGTGTTTACCTGTTTGTTTCGTAGATTATAGATTCTTTCCTGTAAACACTAATTAGTGTAAGTTCATAAGTCTTTTCGTTCACCGATGTGTGCTCTAAAGTGATTTTTGCTTGAAAACCTGTTTAGATTTGTTTGTGTAAACATTGGTGTTATTTTGATAAAACTATCTTTGGTTCCTCTTCATATGCATTTTTGTTGATGATTTTATTATATTTCTCTGACCACTGATTTACTTATGACTATTTTGTTGTAAAAACAGAGCGCAAACATAATCTGCTGGCCTTCCATTTTGGTTTGAAACCCTAAATTTCTTCGTCTAATGATGAATAATTCAGCAGCTTCCGTGCCTGTAACTATGGAGCCTGTTGATCCGGTTCATCGGTATGGTTGTGGGCATGGACGTCTTAAGGCAGGGCACACAATTGATGTCAAGAGAAATACTGTGAAGATCGAGCCCGATCTCAATGACACCGAAAAATACCATGTGACGTTCAGTTATGACGCTCAGGTTGATGGCTGGTAAACTTTTTTTTTATTTTTATTTTTGTGTATATAATTATAACAGTTTTGTCAACATCTTTCCATTCATGCATCTTTTAGATACATCAAGTTATATATTGTTTCCCTGGCAGTATAACCGTTTGTATCTATCGTTGGGTGGGTCAAGAAAAAAAAGAGGTGTTCAAAACCTCTAAGAATGCCGAAAAGAGGCCAGGGCTAGTCCAGAAATTCAATGAGAAAGGAGATGGAGTCAAATTTCCCTTACATAAGACGGGCTTAAAAGATGTCTATAAATTAGAAATAGTGGCACAGGCAGATGAAGATGGAAGTAAGAATTGTATTTTGGAAAAAACGGAAGCAGTGGTTCAGAACAAGAGTGGTATAACGAAGGTTAAGGTAAAAAATCAGATTTTATCGGTGAATGGGAGGATGTCTGTGTTTGTTGATTTGAATGGACATAGTTATTCCACGCAAACGGATGCGGATGATCCTTATAATGGTTGTTGCATCTGTTTTGATGAAAAGAATCCTGGCATTGTTTTTCCCATTGGGGGGTTACTACTTATTGAGAAACCAATTGCAGAGGAGAGTAATGGGAATTGTGTATACAAGGGAACTTATGATGAATCACCAGTTATTGCGGGAAGGATTCCCAAGGGGAATGGTACAACAGACGAAATGATTCAAATTCTCAAGAGATCTAATCCGCATCATTCTAATGTTCTTTGGCGTATTGCTGAAGAGGAGAATGAAGATTTTGTTTTTTTTATTTATGAGAGTTTTGAATGTACCTTACATGATTTGATAACGGGTAAATACGAACTGAAATGTCTAGATGGTTTCATGGATCTGAAACTGTGGAAGCCCGACGGTTTTTCTCCTTCAAAGTGTTTGGTGAAACTTCTAAGGTCATCACTAAACTTCTAAATTTTAAGTTTAGTGACAAAATGAGCACAATTTTATAAGTTAGGTGACTAAATGAGCATAAATATAAACGTTAAGTGACTAAATGAGCACAAAGCCAACAGTTTGATGACCTTTTAAAACTTAAAAACAGTTAAGTGACCAAATGAGCACAAAACCAAAAGTTAAGTGACCTAAACCCTAAAATCTAAAAATATAGTCCAATTTGATCAAGTTTTTTGTCCCATCTTGTTCAGTTCTGTTTTTTTCCCATGTATTTCCTTATTTTTATCTCCCGTTCTTCATATATATATATATATATATATATTCATAACTTTATTTTTTTGGAACTCATAATATCTATTGGCAAATATAAATAACAGGGGCATAGTTGAAGGAATTGTCTGTTTAATTAAACTTGGAAATATTCCGAACTTAAACCCTCGAATGATCATTATAGAAGAAGGTACTTCTAGTCTCACTGGGAAAGTCTTAGGAATGGGCATTAGCTCAACAGGCAAGGCTTCTTTTTTAATTTCATGTAAGATATGATAGATTACATTACCGATATTTGAATGGGCATAATGCAGGAAAAAGAAAAATAGTTTCTAATTGCTCCTTACTATAGCATTTGAATATATCAATCTTCTGCATAAAATTCCATGTGTATGTCCGAGGTGGCATGTTAACATCATTATAATTATAATCTTATTGTTATAATGATGATACAATGGTCAGGAGTAATCTAAGAGTACAATGCTTTAATAGGGAAAGGAAAAGTTACTATACTGTAAAATAAAATAAAATTAGAAACTACTTTATATTTTGTTTTTAATTTTTAATTTTCATGCTTTAAATCTTTTTAGTTTTTAATTTTCATGTCATTTGTGTAGGACAAACGGCTGCTTGGGATTCATTGGATTTAGGGAAACTGTTGGTCTTTTGTATTACTAGTGATTACCTCCCATTTGATCTTGAAGATGTGAAAGATCACTTAAAACGTATCCCGGAAGCCTTCGATCTCATCTCTCGCCTCCAGCATCATAATCCAAAATCTAGGTATAATTTGTGTAAAATTATCTGAAAATCTTTCCATTATGATAAATTGTGGTGAAAGTAGTTAGACTTGCTTTAGTTAATAATATATTGATTGATTTCATGTTTTAATAATTTCAACCTACATTTATTTTTCTACTGGAAAAATATAGGACAACATTTGTATCTTTACCATTTCATTTTCTTCTATCTTGCCCACTTAATTATCTCCTATATTGATTAAAACATTTATACCATTATTATTTCTGCTTTTCTGTCTTTTGCCTATTTACAAAACCGGTAATTGAGGTAAATGTTTTCTTTAATGTTCAAAAACTGTATAATTTTTTATCTAGTACAGAAAATTGTTAATTCACCAAATTGGTTCAGCTTTTCTTTGTTTCCCCCTTTCTTAAAACCAGGTAAACATGAAATATGGACTTTTTGAACAGTCAAAAAAATAAAAAGTACTGTATAATGATTTGATTAGTGCATGATTTATTAAATGGCCAAATCAGTTAGATGGTGAAAGTATGTTATGCTTTTCTGTATTTAAGTCCACATACCCACGAAAAGTACTCTTTTGAATGGTTAGATGAAGTATTAATGGTTTAATTATTACAGAAAGTGGTTAATTCACCTAATCAATAGAATAGCGGAACTCCATATTGTGTATTTTTTTTGTATATTATAACCTATACATTTGATACGTCTACATTTGTTCTTATCCAGACCAACAGCCAAAGAAGTATGCGACGACATTTTTTTCTGGGACGCCAAGCAACATCTTTCCTTCATCGAAGATGTGAGCGACTGTGTGGATCCAGACGTCTGCAATGCCAAAGCCAAAATCCTACAGTTACTCAATATCACGGATCCACCAGCCTTACGTGGAAAATGGGTTAAATCTCAAAAGTTGGACAATGTGACCAATTCCAAAATCCTAAAATCACTTGAAAGCCTTCAGGGTTACAGCAATTGGAACACTTTAATACACCCCACACTCATAAACAACTTAGAGCGACACAGATATTACGATTACGACAGCGTATGTGATTTATTACGTTTCATAAGAAACTGTTCAAATCACTATAAAACACTCTGGAACTATTCAAAACGTTTGTTGGGGGGAGTGGAGGGACTCTCGACATATTTTAGCAGCAAGTTTCCTAAACTGGTAATGGATGTATATAAAGTTTTGGAAAATCATTTTGTGAATGAAGAGCTTCTTAATAAGTATTGTTAGAATGAGCAGTTTTAAGTTATCAAGTCTTTTCGACACTTCCCATTTTCTTATAGATTTTGGGGACTTGTCTCGAGCATGCCTAGTTTTGCAGTCTACTCTAGCAAAAAATGGCATTCTTTCAGTGTGCAAGAAACGGGGATGATGAGGTTGGCTTTGCAGCGTTTTGTCAGAAATTACAGATGAAGAGGCACATAAAGACAAACAAATCTCAGTTGGATGTTGCGACTCCTGGTTAATGGGGGAAGGGCTATCTATCTTCTCTGCAGGACTCACTCTCTCATAATCATGATCAGAAGGTTCCGATTAGTTGCTACATATTTAGTATGGCCTGGTATCATTCTGAAAGTAAGATTGTCATTCTGTTCTATTTGCTTTTTGCAAGACTTTAGCTCCCAGGTGACCCTTAATTTCAAGTGCTTGAGCTTTCGTGGGAAACAGACCCATTATTACTCTTCTCACTTGGACTTGGTTGGTGCTGCTCGTTGGTTGTCCCTTTCAATAGCTGCTGCTGCTGCTGTACTATGCTTCTTCAAGTGTTGGTGTGGTGTCATCTCCCATTTTGGTTGTGTTTAGTTTGTACTTCAGTATTTTCTTTTTTCCTTGTTCTGTATTCTGTATTTTCCAGCTGGTTTTCACATATTTATATTATTTTAGCGGTTGAAAAAGAGTCTTTTTTATTCAGTCTTGATGATTGTTTTTTTTTTGGGAAATGTGACATGCTGTATGTAGTTTGTGGGATGGAAGAAAAGTTGAATAGATGATATTCAACTACTAAAAAGATAGTAGTTTGTGCATTTTACCCAAAACATACGATGAAAATGGTTTTGTACTTTATTTCCTACCATTAAGCAAAATGCAGTTATGAGGCTAGTCCATAAAATTTTGAAAGTACGCTTTTGGTTTTCTATATTTTGCGTCTTTCGAGTACCCTTGAAACAAAAATGGTTTTTAGTTTAATTACTAAAATATAGTTAATTCATTTAATCGGTTAAATGTTAAAAGTATGTTCTTTTTGTATTCTTTCTTTTTAAAAGTAGGTAACTATCAATGTGACCATTTAAAGACATTATTTTAATTCATACAGAAATCTATATATGAAATGTTCTAATTAGGGATGTTATTCGGTCCGGACCGATCCGAACCCGAATAAACCGAAAATCGAATAAGGATATTTGTATGAACCAAAAACCGAACCAAATAAGCAATACGGGTTCGGTTCGGTTTCGGCCCGAATAACCCAAATAACATATACAATATGATTAAAGAGCCGAATAACCCAAATAATATTTGCAATGTGAGTATAAATATTATATTTTATATGACTTTTTTAGCTTATGATAAACACGAATAACACGGACAACATGGATTAACTGTTCTTGATATATAAAATGTAAAATCTAACCACCACAATCTTAAGATATAGTTATTAAGCAACATATTAAACACTAAACATTAAACATCCAAAACACCAAAAAATCTATCTATAAGGATATAAGTTAAACATTAAACATTACATATGTATTTTGGGTAATGATTGATAGAACACAAGACTGAATAAGCAATCGTGCAAGGAGAAAAAAATGTGACTTTTCATATTTGGTTTGGTCATTTTGGACTTAATAAGCCCTTATTCGAATAACCCGGACCGAATAAGCCTTATATAGATACTCGAAACCAAATCAAATTGCTTATTCGGATCTAATTCGGTTCGGTTTGAGTTTTCGGACCAAATTCTCATCCATAATTCTAATGCCATAAAATTATATTTTATAAACATCTTTGTGAAAAAGCACAATTTCTTAGACATCTTGTTAAAAAAAAACTTTATATTTTTCATGTTTGGTCCTATCTTTTGTATTGTATTCGGACCCATCTTAACTTTTGACTATAATGCCCTTATTATTTTTCATGTTTGTTACGTTGCAAGTCCATGTCTAATAAAAAATTGACTATAATGCCCTTATTATTTTCTTTTTCATTTTCTTATTATTTTTAAAAAAAATAATGAATTAATTGATTTGTTAACAATTGGAACCCACTCCCACCTCCGGTCACCTGCCACCCTCAGCCACCGGTTACTACCACCACACACACGCAACCACCAACAACCACTACCGGTCATGATAACCACCGCTAAACATCGAAACCCACCACCAGACACTACCTTTCCTACCCTCTCTGCATATATTTCGCTCTGAAGCATCCTCTTATACTCTGATCTGAAATAAATGTTGGTGAGAACTTAACTCTCTCCCTGAAGACGAGATCTAGGTTACCAGAGATAATGATAGTAGTTTCAACGATGACGGCTTTCGGCGAGACCTGCAGCTAGAACCAAGTTTCAGCTTGAATCTTGGTTTTGGTTTTAGTGGGGATTTAGCATGGATTAATGTTGAAATGTACAAAAAATAAATAATTTCCTGGAATTAAAGTTCAAAATCAGCCAATTTAACATCCAGATCAGACAACAAGCATAGGCACACAAATTGATTGAGATGTCCGTCATGGAATTGAAGTTAAAAAAAAAAAAACTTCCTGGAACTTTGCTTTGAATCACCAAGCCTGCTTTCTGCACACCCAATCGAATAAATCCTATGAATTTCTAGGTTAAACCCGATGTAAAAAATCATATGCTTTCTCTCAAAGCCCACTACCACCGACTACAAACATAAATGAAACCCAGATGCACAAAGCGTACACTACCCAAGTCAAATGAACCCAGATGCAAAAAGCGAGCCTCTTTAGGGGTCGACTTATAAGGTTGATGCAATCCCATTCAAACCTATGGCTGAGTTGCAGCGACATTTAGGTCACAAATGGGCAAGTCTGAGTCGGGGTTTCATCAGCGATGATGCAAGTGGGTGGTGGAGAGGGAAACAAAAAGAGATGCGGGTCAATGGTGAATAAGGAGGGATGAGATGCAATTGTCGGTCAAGAGGGAGTATGGAAGAGATGCCGTCGAAATCGTGACTTTGAACGAGAGGATATAACGGGATTGAGAAAGGAACATGAGGTAGCGGGTTTGGGCCTTTGGTTGATATATTTTTTTTATTAACTTTTTTTAATAAGATAATAATAGAAAAATGTAAAAAGAGTATAAATGTCATTTCAAGACTGATAGAGACTATACATGAAACAAAACAAAAGATAGAGACTACACATAAAATTTTGGTAAAACATAGGACGATTTCAGTAATTTCATAATTTGTTCTAATATATAAGTTAAAAAGAGATTTTATATAAAATTAAATCTAAACTGAAAAAGGAAAAATGAAAGTTTACACCCATTTGTGGTCATGCATCTACTTTATTCCACCAGCCAATCAAAAGCCCACCTAATCTTCCATCAAGATATCCACTCTACAACACATTTACTAGCTTTGGGAGCAGTGTACACGTTGTGATGTATGCCACTTAGGCTTCGACTCCTAAGAACATCCCCATACCCCTTAATCATATGTACATCCAACACATAAACACATTTCTTACAACTACCACAAAAAATAAAAAACCTAGCAACACATCTTCAAAATGTTACACTTTTACCCCCTTGTTTATAAACCAAGACATATATATACTACCACATAACTTCGATATAACTTTCAATATTGACTTTAAAAATATATATACAACTTATACTCATTAGCAGTTTAGCATTCTAAATTTCAATTAATTTCATAAAATTTAGTTACACGTTCAAAAAATACCCATAAATCGCGTATTCGAATCAGTTTATCTTCGTTCCGAATCCTGCCCAATCTCACAATCTCTACTCTCATTCGATATCGACCTCTCAACTTTCTGCCTCTTCTTATCTCTCGGATCTTTCTTTTCATCAATAAGCGATAACAATGTCTGAAGCCGCCTCGACCCGGCCCCACCGGAATCCGGTGCCGCCCGGGCAATGTTACGAAACCGCCGGAAAACTTGACAAAAGTAAATAAAAAGGGCAACGAAACACGCGATACCACAGATAAGAAAGAGACCCCAGAAACTTTTAAGGTGTAATCTGTCTGATTCAAGCTCTGAATTATCGGTGCTACATCCGCTTCTTATTAGCCATTTGTCATGGATCCGTTGAAGGTCTCCGTTTTCTGATAGCGTGAGGATTGCGGTTGATAAGTCGACTGCTAATGGAGAGTCACGGGGGAATGCCTGTAATGTGATTTGACCGTATTAGCCTCGGTTATTATTCTCAATTTGTAAACTAATTCGAGTTTTGTGGTTAAATGAAATGCAAAGATATAACGTGTTTTATTGGTTTGTTAATCATAGCATCCTACTTTTGTTTTCTCGCGTTACATAGATTGTACTTTGAAAAATCTACACACTTGAAAGTATAATCTTGTAATAAGAAAAAATGAAAGCATAAATATAGGATAAGCTAATAAATGAATGCATATTGATATTTTATGCATTTAGCCTTTTGATGAAGTCAAATTCAAGAGATAGGTTAAATACAAGAACTAGCAATGTATTTTCACTGATTTGTTTATTTTAAAACATCTTACTTTCATTTCTGCATGTTACAACAATGTACTTTGAAAAACCTACCCAATTATAGCAGTATCATCGAAATACAAAGCTAATTGGATAGATTTTTTAAGGTATAATCACCTAATAAGAAAAACAATACAAATTACGAAGCTAAAATTGGGTTGATGTTTCGACCTACACAACCTTAAAAAACATGAAAGTATAATGTTTAATCAAAAGAAATGAAAGCAGGATGCTATTATAAACAAATATGTGAACATACAATGTTGTTTCTTGCATTCAGCCCTAGAAATAAATAATGTCCTATTATTTCTTGAATCTGGATTCACCACGGGTTAAATGCATAAAATACCAACACACTTTTATTTATTTGTTTATTATAGCATGTATTTCCATTTTTTATTACAGCATTGTATTCTTTTAAAGGCACTGGACTTTGAATAATGAACCTAATTACAGCATTGTACTTTCAACATTTTTAATAGAAAAGTATACTCCAAAAAATCTATCCAATTATAGGTTAATATAATGAGGTAGATTATGAAAAGTAGAATGATGTAATAGGAAGAATTGAAAGTATGAACCTATAAAAACATATCACTGAATATACTTTGCCATTTCTTGCAGTTAATACGTCTATGATTTAAAGTTTTAAACATATGTTTTATATTTAGAAGTACTTCTATGAGATAACAAAGTACCCACATATCAATCAATTAGAAATTTCAAATCTTGAAAA